TCGCCAAAATCTTTAAGTCAAAGTTTTTAACATCGTCAAAAAAAAAAAGCGAAAGTTCCCCGAACCCATCCCCTTAACCCTCTTGTCCTTACGCCCACAAATCGTGATCACACCCCTGGTGAAGCGTCGAGGTAAAGACCCCAACTCATCCAGTGGTTGTAAAAAGATCAGTATTTTTGCAAAGGAACAAAAACGGGCGATCCTTTTAACACTTGTAGGAAGTCCATTTTTTTATCCCGGAGACTTATCCAGGCCAACCTGCTTCAGCGCATCCCAGATTTCCGACTCTTTTTGGGACCCCGCACCTAGCATCTCTGAGTTGCGTCGCTGTCCTTGACAGAGGCGCTCAAAGTCTCTGCCAAATACGGTGGGTCGAACTGAGCAGAATAATACTGGGCCCCTGGTGAAAAGATCCTGAAAATAGCCCCTCGTTGCCCAGCGCTTGTAGTCACGGTCCGCTTATCCGGCAAAGACGCACGCTATATGTCGACTTAGCCGCGTTCCTATTCTCCTCTGCACGCAATTCAGCGGCCCCATTTCGTCGCCTAAAGACATTCTTTTTTTCACACTCGCCCAAACTACCAGAGCTTGATCCTTTTGATAAGCAAGGAGGCCAACTTGCCTTAGCTACGACTAGCTGTCCCCACTAACACGGGATTTCAACTTTTCCGATCATTTTTGCATGTTTGCGCCGAATCTATCTTCAATTGAGTCGACGACTAAAATCGGCAGCAAACGTTCTAATTTTTAGATTTTAATTTTTTAGGCGTTTCCAAACCGCCCCATCTCAATTCTGATCTGAATCGACGTTATTAGCAGCTGGTCCCGAAAATCCTGTCACCAAATAATGAACAGTTAAAGAGCGCCACGTAACCAGCCATCCTAACCTTAGGTTTATCTAGTTTAACGGACCCGGTGGAAAATAGATCCGCCTATATAGTGGAAACTTGACACTTTAAGAGCCCTACATCGACTCCTAATGGTCCCAACACTTCTGTCCAGGTAGCTTCGCAAGCGAGCCAGGAGCCAGGTCGCCACTTTTGTTGTCCAAGTCCATGCTCAATCCTGAGGGTGCTGTAAACCAAACTTATCGACAAGATCAAACTTATAAATAAAGCCCCGAAATGCCTTCACATCAATTGTTAGTACCCGGTTTTTACCTATAATCTATATCTAAGGAATTTTAATCTCCCGTTAAGACTATTCATTCGACGTGAAAAAGTCGTCAAAACGGCTTATCTGCCGAAACAAAGCAGGCCGCTCAAATGACTGTTGGGCTAAACCCAATGAGACGTAAATTAGCCTTATCCTTTATAGTAACATCCAGCACTGTCAAATCCTGCCCGCCGGATCAAGCTAAGGGCAAAGCAGCCTTTGTCAAAGACCTGCCACTAGCCAAGAGACACCCCCTCGAACGACCATCAAAACATGCTGAATAAAGGGCGAATGCCTCTCGGCAGACAGTATCCTTCACGGTCATTAGAAGAAACCGGGGTTACAAACATTCACCCTGATTTTTTTAATTGTTTCACAGAGAGCCATTTTATTTGCGAGATAGGGACCCCAGGCCCCGCACATTTAATGGCAACACAGAGAGCACATTTTTTAAGTCCGATTAGGGTTGTTTACCTGGGAAACCATAATGACAGACTAGATCCCAGGGTTACATTTCAGTTTTGAGAGAATTAGAAACATACGAGATTCCACCATATCCCAATCGAAAGTAATCAGAAGACGTTATGGGGGTGAACCAAAAGGGACCCTTTTGCACAAAGTTTAGATAGCTGATTCAACTGTTCATTATGAGGATGGCAATGGAAAAAACCCATTTTAAAAGAAGCAATCGCCTCGATCATTGCCCAAATTGGATTGGCCCCAATTCCAGTCCGCAATTCACTGTTAAAACTCTTTTTGTATTGTAGAAAAATGATAGGGCAGAAAATCACATTTTATCGGCATTACTGCCCTAATTGAAAGCAGGTAAGCGTTGTAGGCAAGAATTGGTTTCTACGGAATTCGGCCTACACAGCGAGCTTGCTCAGAAGAAATTCTACAGAGGTCCTGCCTGAGTTGAAGAAGTAAGGAATTTTTTTTTTTCTTTTCCTTTTAGAGAGGGGTTTCCTTGCCTTTGACTCGTGGGAGGGAGGTTTTCAGATTTCTTTTTGACGGGGAAGGCAGGAGTAAGTGGCGAGGGGTTTCGCTAACAGGAGAAGGGCTAGGAGTGTGAAGGGGGTGAAACGATTTCCCGCGCGTTGATATGGGCTGATCTCCACTGAGAGGACGGGCTTTTGTTGGTGAAGATTGAGGGAAGGCTTATTTTTGGATGAAGATGTGGACGGGGCAGAGGATCGATTTCAGGAGGGCGATTTGAGTTGGTTTTAGCTTTGCTGTCCAACTTTCTTTTCAGCTCTTTAATTTTTCAAATTTTTCGAATCCCGGGTCGAATTTTTTGCATTGCTCCATAGAGAGGCCGAATATCGCCTCTTGACGTTGAGATGGAGGGGCTGTCCGTCATTTGGACCCTTACCCGCATTCACCAGTTGCCCGTTGTCGACCAGATCTTCCTCTTCGGCCTTACCAGTCGCACCAGCCATTAAACAACTTTTTGGGAATGAGGTCTTTGATGTAATCTCAACCGGTGGTTTAACCGACCCGGTCCTGGAAGCTGGTACGCCCATTACAGGCGAGGCGGAAGTTACAGACGCGGTCAGAGGGGAATCTTGGTTAACTGGAGCTTGACCACCAGAGGCCTTCTTCTCTCATGGGCAGGAGGAGGAGATGACCAGTCCTTTGGCACACCTCCAGCATATCTTCAGCCTGTTATTATGACCGGTAATTTCAAGCCTACTCCAACATCTAGACAGTTGGGGATGGAGAAACACTTTCTCATCCAACATGATGTCAAAGCTCCACCCCGCTCAGGCTATCACATGAGGCGCCCAGAATTTCGTTGCCGTACTGGGTAAAAGTAAGCCGCGAGATGCTCACCGATAACCTGAGGAGGGGACCTCATATACTGTTACCCTTCATCCTTCTGCGGCCTTCGTACTCCGTGCGCAGGATAAGGTCTTTTTGTGATTAGCCCCACATGTTTGTACAAGCTACGCAATCTTTTGCTGTGGGTATCAGTACGTCCCACATGAAAAAACTTTGCGCCCTTAATTATTCTTAGGGCTTAAACCCCAAGGACTCTAGTATTTTAACACTATGTTTTTCGTCGTTTTGCGCGTACGCTTGTCGACGACGAAAACTGACACACTTTTCTGTTTCTCAATCTTCTTCAATTCCTGGGGTCTTCTAGAGTCCACCTTTACAAGGTGAGCAACTAAAAGAACTGCAAGATTGATGATACATTTTCGGTGGGGGACGACCAACAAGAGGGCGATTCCCCGGCCTCTGCATTCGTAGATGCGTTGTCCTTTTCTTCTTCATTGACATTTCTTTTTTCAGCCTCCATATTTTCGGAGGCTTTTCTTAAAAAGTCTACAATTTCTCATTTGGGGAACTCTTTTATCCAGGTCTGGGTATTCCTCCATATTATTTTTGTCCGGGGGTCTTTTTTAGGATTAAAGAGGTTTTCATATTTCTTTTGAAAGAAGCAATTTTGAGGGAACTTCTTTTTAACAATTAAGAATGAAGGCACTTTTTCCTTTCCTTCTTATCCATTTTTTTAAACAGCGAAGGGAGGGGAAGGGGAGGGTGGAAATAAATTTATGGGCGAGAGGAAAAAGAAATAAATTAACTAAAACAAACTCAACAAAATAATTATCACAAAAACAATTACATTAAGGAACACGGTTCACTTAAACGTATTAAATATCCTTTCTAAAGGCGAAACAATAAAAGACAAACAATAAAAAATAAAAAACGTTAGACAAAAAATACCCCGAAAAAAATTCGACAAAAAGCCGAAGCTAAAATAAAATCAAAAATGGACGTCGACGTCAACAAAAATTACGAAACAATAACACAAAGCTAGTTACAAAAAATCAAAAATGGCTGACGTCAATAAACAAAAAATACGTAACGAAGACAGACGAAGCTAGACACAAAAATAAAATGGCCGACCCTAAGAGTCGAACCAATAAACAAAAGAAAATAAACAAATAGATTAAAAACGATTACAAGCAAAAAACACGTAAAAATTAAAAGGATGAAAACAATTAAATAAATAAATTAATAAGAAATTACAGCAAAACACAGAATAACGAACAGGACGAAAATAAAGAAAAATGACAATTAACACGAAAACTAGAATAAAAAGAAAAAATTAAAAGGGGTAGAAATGAGAAGAAAAAACTGGTGGAAATTACAGGAGAAAAAACGAAATTCAAAAAAGCAAATTAGATTAAAAAAGGAAAACGAGTAAAAATTAAAGGAGTAAAAAATTAAAATAGGAAAACTAGAATAAACAGAATAAAGAGTAAAAAATTAAAGGGAGGGTGAAAAAAATGTAGAGTAAAAAAAAAATCAAAAAACTTTTACAATAAGGTCGTAAATATACAAATAAAATAAACAAACTTTAAACAAAAGCAGTTCCAAAGGGTAACAGGTAAAATCACACACAAAAAAGGTCGAGTTGTCAGCAAAAACACCAAAAAATAACCAGAAACCAGCCAAGAACGGCTCCGAGTGTGGAGGTCTGACTGGTGAATTGACTGAAATTCGTCCTTTTATTTAGTTTGGGAAACCAAAGTAGGCTCCCAGTGGCCTGGCAGGAAAAACAGATTTTTGACCATGGATACACATTCTAGGGTCGTTTCGACCAATAACAAAACCGAGTTTCACAATGTGTGGTGTTGATTGGTCAAAGCTAATTCTTATAGAAGAGTCTATTTTTTAACGGGGTGAGAGACACAAACATTGATTATAAGTACTCAGTCGAGGTTTGTATTATAGGCAATAATCATACAAACGTGTTTAATCCCTGGGCTATGATAAATATCGAGGTCTTGTAGCACGCTTTATGATCTCTCTTCTTTCTGCATTGATAACTGAACTTACGGCCACATCACGTTGAAACTCCGGTTCCCGTATGATCACCGAAGTTAAGACAACTTCAAGACTAGTCAGTACCTAGATCAGTGACCGGTTTGGAATATCAGGTGTTGTTAGTTTGAATGAGCGCACGGTATATGGGATAATGACTAGAAATTTTTAAGTGGTGAACCGATTTTCAATTCCCGTTGGGCTTGTTATATTCACTTATGCACAATGACCCTTTGAAAATGCATGAATCTACCTCTTCTCCTGTTCGCTATGGGTTAATTATTAAGACTTGTATCACTAAACCATTATTATCAACCCTACCAAAAAAATCTTACAATCAAAAGATATTTCCTGGCATATTCTGTTCAAGGGATTGGTTGATTGATTCGATTTTTACGGCTTATCAACCTTTTTCCAGATTATTTTAAACCTGTAAAAGTTTGAAAAGCCATAAAAAATCGAGTCAATCAATCAATCCCTTAAATAGAATATGACTGAATATGAACTCTTTTCATATTTTCTCAAAAAATGTCTTACAATCTAAATATATTTTCTGACTTTAAATAACTTGCAAAGGTTTGATAAACCATAGAAAACGAATCAATCACTTTTCATAAAAGAATCTATGTGATCTTGTGTGTTATATTTTATATCCTACAACCCACTTCAAAAGTTCGCAAGCCTATCACTATTTATGGCTATTTACGTGGTAAATATATTTGACGAGCCACATTCCTTAGTTCAAACAGTTCAGAGTTTAACATCTAAAACTGCCATGACATGTACCCAGATGCGAACCATCCTCATTCCATTCGTATTCTATTCTATTCAGACAGCTTCTTTTCTAGAGCAACTGTTTTGTGGAAGATACTCCGAGATAATGCTTCCCCGATTACCACAATCTTAACCTCTTCGTCGAAGGTCAACCGTTATCTATCCTACATGTCCGCGTAATGAGTATTTCTTACCAACTCCTCTTATGTCCATAAAACCTCATTCAGTGACCCTCTGCTTTGAATGGCTCTTGGACTTTGTACTAAGTGAACAATAGCATAAGAAACTCATGTGTTGATCACCGGGATAGTCTTAGAGGGATTTACTGGGCGTAGCTTAGAAGTGGCACAAAAATTGTAAATAAACTCATATTTTGTTCTGTTTTTGTTCAAATATTTGCAACAGTTTCAGTCATTATCAAGAACTGGGCGTTATCAGTGACCTAAACAATATTTTATGTGGTATCCCCCTCACAACTAGAAAATATTTTATTTTTAAACTGACAGTTTAACAAAATGGTATACTGACTACATCTAGGCTTTGTAAGTTTTATCAATAATTGCAGAAAAAAATTATTTTGCTTGTGTGTCACTTTATTCATGAAATGTTACTACACAAATGATATTATGCCGAGCATAAACTTTTAAAAACTAATACCTTTTGGGGTTTTCTATTAGACAGATAGGCAGACTGGACACAGAAAAACAACAAAACAAAAGAAAGACTAAAACTAACCTGCTAAAGAGGAATAAAAAACGGAAAAATTATTATAAGAAAACTAACTTCATAAAATATTTTCCGAATAGTAGTGGGATACAATAATAACAATGAGATTAGAGTCTATTTGATTGTCTTCAATTATATTATTATATTTGGATGTGTGTATGGTGCAACAGATAGCGGGTCGAAATGCGAAATCGGAGAGCCGAGTTTGAATTCTGGTTGAATTTTTTTACATTCCCTTTCGCATAATTACTCTTGGGAAAAATGTAGGAATCCACTTCTTCTCCCGACCAGCTATAGGCTATATAGGGTAGGGAGGGAGCTCTTTAGCCCCGACTGGCAGTGAGTCTAGGAAAAGAACAACTGAATTCAAACAGTATGTAGCTCTGTCGAGGTACATCATTGTGGAAAATATCGTTTCAAATTTAGATTTTGAATTTGAGAACGCTCTAAAAACCCGCGAATTTTCCATCCTTTAAATTGTTAGTTGTGCTTCGTTTAATTTGTAATGTATATAAGTAAAAAAAAAAGCAAATTTGACGGGCCCGATAACGAGGATTGGGCGCCCGGTCGGGTAGTTCATGAATGATACGCGCCGGCTATGCGACTTATATAAAATATTTTTATTTTTATTATTTTTTACTACGTTTGTGTTAAAATATGTGCAAATTTGGTTTGCAATAAATATTAAAATTGCGTTATTTCTTAAAGAATATTTTTTATTGATAAACAAAAGATAATTATTCTTGTTTATTTAAAGAATTTGCAATAAGTTTGCTTCAAGTTATGCAAATGTCGCCAAAATGCATCACGAGTAAAAATAAATATTCAATACGCGTGTGGGCAAGTTAGAGGATGGCTCATTCTTAGGTGAGGGTATAATTTCATTAGCCTAATTCGGCCCTGGACAAAATGTATTGTCTTTAGCAACCAGAGATGTGTGACAGGAATTGAAGACATCAAAATCAATCATGTATAGAAAATTAATTATCTAGGCTACGATATATCAGACGATGGAAACCGTGACACAAAAATATATACAATTTGTACCAAGCATATCTTCATCAGTATATGTTAGTATTTAAATATAATCTTTTCAGTTAGGATTGTTGCACTTTGCACGTTCACAGAGTCGACTGAGGACAGTCTGCCATTTTCTTTGCATGACAGTGCATAAGAGATAATAATGTCTAGATTTAACTCCCTTAAAGCAAAATTTAAACAAAATATATGCATTTTTTACCATTTCATTCCATTCAAGGCAATAAAACCACCGAGATGCAAGGTGATTACTGACTGAAAGAATATGAGAAAAATAAAAACATTATTTAGGATAGAGAACAATAAAATAACATGAATTAAGAAGACAGAAAATAACGATTGATAATTTTTTTCAAGATCAAATTTAACTGGAAATGAAGAGGTCTGAAGAGCTTTCCACAATCAAGATGTGCGAGAGAAGAAACTATTAGCATAGATCTTACGGGTATATCTAATCATTTCAACTTTAAAATGTTAATTGGTTGGTTGGGTTCAAATGATAGAAAAATAATATTACAACTGTGAAAGTTTTAAAATTCGGTTTTCACTTTAGTAAAAGTATAAACTACAGATAAAAAGTTTGAGGTATCCTTGAGTTTCTTTAAAAAAAAAAAAAGCACCTTAAAACAGATATCTCCAACCTTAACCTTAACCCTAACACTAAACTCCACAAAATCGTTAAAAGAATTAGCATGCTGTCTTGAAAAATGCTCCAAATTTGATGAAAACCAACTTTTATCATCGAAATCTTGATGTTATTAAGAAAGATCAAAGTATTTTTTGAATATTTAATTAAATGTTTTTATCCCTTTTAGAACATTTGAAACTTTGATTAAAATTTTTTATTGCATCAGTGGAAGTAATTATAAAAGTAAGAAGCTGTTTTTTCTGCGATACACTCTTTACCAACTCTTTTTGAGTAAGTTCGAGTCTACTTATCATCTCTGAGTTGCGTCGCTGTCCTTGGACAGAGTGCGCTCAGGGGCTTCTCTGCCAAAGGACGGTGGGTGGGCAACTGAGGAAAATAATACTGAAGAGGTGCCCAGCCCTGGGGAACCGCTGCCCGAGGACGCGCCCTCACATTGCACCAGAGGTAGAGACCGGTGCTCGCACCGAGGCCGGCGCAACCGACGGTTGCGGGGACTGAGGGGAATTTCTATTCCTCTCCCGGGTGTACGCGCTCGGGTCCCCACCTAAATATAGACCTTGTGTCACATCTCGTCCAAGTGGGGGGACAGAGTAAAAACTCATTTACCAACAAAGGCTACAGGACCCAGTGTGTCCTTCTATTTAACCCATAGCTGGGGTAAGAAGAGATGGATTAATAACTTTTCCTAGGATATTTGCATGTAAATGAATGCAAGGAACTCGGCTTGAATTCGAACTCGGCACTCCTATGTCTCAATTATCCAGTACAACTGTGCACATCCAAGCTCACAGTACACGGTATGCACAAGCGGTCACTCATCTAGGTACTGATCGGAGTCGACGTTGCTTAAGTTCTGTGGCTGGACGATAACACCTGTCTCAATGTGATATGTGCATTTTACAGAGCGCCCACGTCGCTAGCGAATGTGACACAAGGTCAGTATAAAGTGACTTTAACGGTAACACTGTGGAAAAATAGCTCAAGTAGCTTGAGAAATTTTCCTCGACACTTCCCCTTTTTGGGACGCCTCAAGCGCTGGGCAATGGTCCCAGACTCTTCTGTCTGGGATGGTAGTTTCCTGGAACTTGAGCTTAATATTATTTTGAAACTTTCCCGGGTAATATGTCTCAATGTGATATAGCTGTAAACCAAAGTTACACCAACACATTCCGATTATAAAAAAAGAAAATGAATATATTATTTATTTTAACACAATAAGAGATGCGGAATGAGGAATTAAGATATTTCATGGTAAATAGTAGAGGTTAAAATATTTTTAAGTTCCCAGTTAAGTATTACTTGATTCATTCCAATGTGAAAAAGTTTTACTCATTAGGTTATGCAATCGATGAAAATTAAAATCTTTCAAATGAACTGTCTTTATTTTAAACTCGCGTTGATTCTTGCTTTAATTAGCACTTTTCTTGATCACTTAGTTTAATTCTTTCACTGTCGGAAATCACTGTTTGCAAATTTCATGCAGCAGCTAAAATTCAAACATGGTTGTCACATTACATTTACAATATTAATTTTCCCATACACCCAAGTTTATTTCAAAAATTAAATTTGTATTATATTTTAAAAATGCCTGTCGGCATGTCCTTTTACTAGATACAAAAATGGCTCTTCTATTCTTGAGTGATTAATATTTTTTTATAAGGGATATTTCGTCACTGATTACAGATAACTTCTTCCTTATTTTTTTAATTGTTTTCCAGCATTTCCATGTTTATTTGAAATAGTGAACACATTTTATAAGTCGTGACATGCACAGAAGCACATTTTTTAAGACAGAACTTTTATTTGCTGGGAAACGCTGGTATTTTCTCCATGTAAGGCAGTAATGCGACTAGAAGACAAAGGGTTACATTGCGTGAGAGAATTAGAAAACATACGCATTATTGAGGAGCGAGAACAATCGAAGAGTAATCAGGAAG